TGTGTTGTTTTTCGGGGGTCCTTGGGGGAGGTAAAGTCTATGTATACCCTCCTGTGGGCCCACCACCCAAAGGAGGAGCTTTGTCGATCATTCAGCAGTTGAAGGCGGGTCCCCTCACTATTTGACCTTCAGCTGCCTACAGTGGCTTCAGGGACACGGCGCGTCATCTCTGTTGGCTTGTATAAGATTTAGAGCTGTTAGCTGAGGAGAGAAAGGTCTGTGTGTTTCTGCTTAGACAGCTGCCTCTGTGACCTGGACCCAGAACTGGGCATTATGGGAAAAAATCTTATCATGATCATTTTTCACTTCAGTCAATATTTCTCTATGTAACGATATAAATCAAATCATCAGTCCTGTCAGTCTTAAAGATTCCTTTTTGTTTTGTTTTGGGATTTTTTTTATAAAAACAAACTGTTTAAAGTTGTTGGAAATAGAGAATTTATCCTCATTGTTTTTAGTCCTACTGCTTTCATGTGGAGTCTTTTTAGTTTAGCAGTTAAGACACAGACCATGACGTACAATATGTGAGTCTATGTTGTTTTTATAGTGTCCCACTTTATTTGGCACTGTAAAACATTTTTATCCTCTGTCCCTTGACCTACATGTTGAGACAATGTTCCACATTTTGACTGGCTTTATATTTCAAAGGTTAAAATTGGAGGAAAGGGAGTTTAAAATGCTATTACCATGCTACCCACGCAATGCTCAATCGGGTAAACTGAAGTCACCAGCTCGTCAGATTTTCACAGTAATAAAAACTACAAACACATATAAAGAAAAAATAAAAACAGCTACAATGAAAGCCTAGGAGACTGGCTATCAATTGTTGAGTCCAACAGAAGATGATGCTCTGGCACTTCCTTTGTTTTATTTGTTTTATGAGGTGAAATGACATGTTTTTTGTTGGTTTTATTTGTATTTATTTATGTATTTTTATTTATTTTTAAGTCAGACACGTCAAAGCTTCAGACCAGTTGTCAACATTAGTAGTGTGCTTCCCACACACACATACCCTTTGCTTCTTGTTTATTTTTCTGGGATCTTTATATCACTGGTGTGTCATTGTCCACCACATTTCCTTGATTTCTATATAAAGGCATGATAATATAGTTTCAAATCAGTTTTTCAGACAGGCTGTGTAATCATGTCCTCCTGTAGGACTCATACTGAAGAGTTTTTAGATGTTGTCATTAAAAGAGAATGTGGTTTGTATCACTAAACTAGAGGAAATCATTTGTCTAGTGTGTGTGTGTGTGTGTGTGTGTGTGTGTGTGTGTGTTATTTCCATGCATAAAACCTTGCAACAAAAGATGTCTTTTTGAATCTCATTTCTTTGTTACTGATTCATTTTTCGCCAAACCTGTGCTTTGTGTGGCTTCCTCTCACAAGCTAATCTTCAGATGACAAGGCACACAAATTCTAGATGGTC